TTCCAGCCTTGCCCAGCGCGTGCTAACAGAGCGCGGAAAGGTTGGTGGTAGGCAGGTATACGCAAAACATGACGGAGCCATCGGGGGCGGTGCAGAGTGATTACTGTTGGAGAATTCAGTTAGAGAACAGCGAAGAACCTCGTCATTGATTACGCAATGTTCCCACCAGACACAAGCAATACTTCAAATGCATCAGTGGTAGAATACAGGAAGTTGATTAACATCCTCGGCTCGGACAGGCCAGGTTTCGCAACCGTAAAGCAGAAAGCTACGAACCGCGGCGGTGTACACCCTTCCCTTAGGGGGCAAACGGATGGTTGGCAAAAGCTACCCTAGCTTTCGCTATTAGTGACTTGGTCTCCTCCCCAACACCAACACCAGCTACGATCAAGCTCCCAAGGTACTTGAATCTCTCAACCACTTCCAGTTGGTCACCACAGAGGGTGAGTGCAGGTACAGACTCCTATTAAGTTTGTGCAAGCACTGTGCACTGGATGCTTCGATCTCCAAGTGGTTTAAAGCGTGTTGAACTATCTGTGCATTGTCATCGGTATACTCGAAGTCGAGAACTCTGTTCCCAGGGAGGATTTCAACTCCACCGTCTGCTAGATCGGAAAGGCGTCCTGCAGAACACCCTTTATGGCAAAGTTGAAGAGGAATGGGGATGTAGGATAGTCCTGAGGAACTCCACTGGTAACGATAACAGGTGGTGAGGGCTGGCCATGGGCCCTATCCCAAACTGAGATATGACTATACAACTCTTTGAAGATCAACACATATTTATGAGGTACTCCATTTCTAAACAAATAGCTTCATAATGCGGTCCTATCGACAGAGTCAAAGGCCGCGCGAATATCTGGGAACACAATGATTTTTGGTCTGTGGTAAGTATGCCGATTCTGTAGCAACTGTCGGAGAGTGAAGATTCGATCGATGCATCCACGACCGGCGCGAAACCCAGCCTACTCCTTAAGAGAATATGCTCCTCATGCGTCTTGTACAATCTACGAAGAATAACGGATGTAAATAACTTTGACACTATTGGAATGAGACTGAACGCCTTGTGGTTGGCTCAAGCACTGTGCGGCCCTTTTTAAATATGGGGAGGACAATTGATTCCTCCTACCAAGAGGGGACCTGCTCAGTGTGACAAACTCTGGAAAACAGAACTTGCAGCTTCATTCCACCACCTTTAAATAGAGTTGGCGAAAGGCCTCGGCGACCCAGCTGACGCGCCAAGCTTAGGATCGCCTTGCTGATTTTCGTTTCGGATGGTGGGTCTGTTCAGACAGACCCTGGCGGAATAGCTGTTTGGGAAGCTGACGCTGGTGGCTAGCTACACCGTGCCTTGAAGTGCTCTGCTCAACGGACAAGACGTCACTGTTAGTTGTGAATGAAGTGAACCGTCAGCTTCATAGACTATTTTTTCTCACACCCAAAGCTTTCCTGTTAGTGACTCGGATGAGATGGGCCAGCTTACAGGAATTTACTAAGGCAGCATGATGTGCTTTGAAACCACCGAATTTCGTGGTCTCTATGTGGACTTAGGTTAAGTTAAAGTCTCGTTTCATTATGCTCGCTGCCAGTTGGCATTGACCGACGCGCCTTAAGAATACTCAGAGACTCAATGGAAATCAAGGGTGTCACGGTGCGACGTGCCAGGCCACAACTAACTAAGCCAGTAGAATGCAGAGTATTCTTGATAAGCGACCAGTGCTGACTGGTATTATCAGGTGAGGTTGATTCTATCATTTTAGCCAGCGTGTTTTGAAGACGGTTAGGTATACTGGTTGAGACAACTTATCGCAATCTAACCGTTGCTGCCGGAAGGGCGACTACTTACTATGCAAGAGCCTCTAAGTCTCACTGCGCCTAACGAATGTCTACTGGGATCCAGTCCAAGAGCACGGCTTCAGTTCTCTCACTGAGAACCACACTGACGCCAGCAAGACCAGAGGCCGCAGCCTCAGTGTCCCAAGAAAGGTGTGAGTGAAACTTCGAAGGTGGGTTTGATGGGGGATGTCAATCGGTTGATGAGGCTGGAGTCTTGGATACAAAACAAATCGATAGCTAGAGTCTTGAGGGTACGAGGTGAGCATACCTTCTGTCCTATACGCCTGGTAAATGTGATTAGTTAGAACGGGCATCAAGAAGAAAAAGGGGTTTCAGTCAGTGGGTGAGAATTCGGTGAGACTAGTCGAGGCAGGATACAAGACAATAGGGGCAGGATTTCCATCAGAGGTAGAACTGATAGTGTGATCATCTGAAGACCTCGATGTGTTCGAAAATGTGCGAGGGAGGGGGGAGATTCGAGATGGAAGACAAACTGGGAAGATGAGCACGGTGTGGGATGGTTTTCTGAGAGTGAAGAAAGCTGAAAGTGCTAATTTCTTGGTAAGCGAAATTGCAAAACTCATTTTTTGATGTATTGTGGGCTGTTGTATTACTCGATTGCCCAGACCAGACTGGGCCTTGTTCAAGAATACACTCTAGCCTTTGCGCCGCCAAACGTGAACTGCATGACAATAGCGTTGTTCCAGATGAGCCGGTTGCCGGTTTATTGGTTCATTCGCCTCTTCTGACGAATCTTTTCATGTCGATCGAGCTGGACAAGGGGATAACGACAACATTCAGTGGAGAAACAAACAGTGCTGTCAAAAGATATATGTGGTGTTTTGTACAGATAACCCTTACCAAAAGGTAAACTCACCACATCCTCGAGCGCTGTCGCTGATTGTCCGTGACCGCTTATTCCATGAGCCTAAAGCCACCTTATTCACGATTAACCGCGAGTTGACGGCCATTCTTTTATCCGCTACCTGTGAACCCTCTCGGTGGCATACAACTTGGTACTTACTGAACCGAGATGCAATCGGATGCCCACAATATGCTTTTCAGTTATTCTCATCAGAAATGTGATTCTTCTAACGGTAAACGTTTGTCACCCCGTACCAGGCGTTTTATGTGAAAGGAAATCGTCTTTTTTGTATTGTGCAGCGAACAAGGTCCACCCATACACCGCGTGATGCACCTACTCCGTACAGTTGATCTAATATTTACAAAGGAAAATTGTTTTTCTCTCTACTATGAAAAACTAAAATGATCTCATTTATTGAAACCCTGGAAACTTTTTTGTTTGTCTTTATTCATACTCCACCTTCATTCGGGCTTGAAAGCTGATCTTTCCATTGATCGTTAACGCTATGAACTTCATCAACAAACCTAGGTGTGGTCTCTTCAACCGTGCACTATTTGAAATGTCGAACTAAAATACTCGGTCAAAGCTATCCAACAGTTTACGTAGTTTCCTGACACCATTTCTTTTAGAATTAGCGAACCAAGTTTCTGTCTGAACATAAAGTAAAAGGTGTAAGAGGTCAAAACCGGTGATGGGGAATGCTGAAATATGTGGGTTTGGTTCACTATTATCTTGCGCACACACCTAATCGAATTGACTCTATCGTTCTCCCCTNTCCCCCCTACCCCCCCCCCCCCCAAACCAACTACACCAATACTAAACTGATGTACGTGGCAAGGAGTCCCGGAAATGTATTGCTCTATTTCACTCCTCCCGGAAGTTTGTCAAACACTTCATGCGTTCACTTTCCTCGGGTCACGGATCCGATTTATTTTATCTTGTTGTTGATTTACAGCATCCGCTATCTTCTTGAACCCGAATCGTTTCGACCATTGGTAGCCTGTTGTGGTTCCACAAATGTATTTTGCAGTTTTTAGAGAAAACAGGTGAAAGTAGTGATTGTGCATTTGAACATACAAACCACAACTGGATACCATAGTGAACAATACCCCTGTGATCACCCCACTCCACCCCACCCCTCGTCATCTCTCCGCAATCGCAACCGCCAACAGTTTGGACCACATAATGGTGACCATTTTCTTGCTTTTCTATTCCACTACATTCCAGTCACCTTCGTTGGGCTACCCAAAGCGAACTGTGGGTAAAAGAGATGACAAATTTGTTCACAAATGTAATCTGGCACAAAGTAAAGGTTCCGGATATAGAGCCAACATCTCCGCAACCGACTTTGCTTGTTCTCCTTTGATCTCTTCAAAACAATCGCTCCAGTGAGTGGTTGCCTTAAAAAAGAAACAATGATAAATCACGGAAGGCCTTTGTTTTATATCATGAATAGTTTTTATGGTACACATTGCGAAAATGAGAGAGGGTGGGTGGAAAATATGCAAATAAAATGG